GTGAGGTGAGGGGTGTGGGTACATGACTCTCACCTCAGATACATTCACGGCAGATAGAATCACAACAACTATTCAGGAAGTTTAAGTTTGCAGGTGTGCTTGAAGGTGACACCACAGCTGGCTGATTCATAGGCAGACTATGCAAGTACGCACGGCACTGGCAAGACAGGGGCAGGTTCAGAAAGGAAGGAAGGGAAGGTGGAAGAAAGGAGGAGGGGACGAAACATTATCCCAAATTTGACAGCCAGATGATTCTAGAATGCAGCTCCTTAGTATGTTCGTATATATGACTTACTCTTGCATTGCTTTCCTTTGCATCACATGTGAGGTCAACAACAAGGGATTGTAACCCCAAGAGCCCTTGGCGACTTCACCAGTGAGAGGAGATGGATCAGCTGTCACACTGGTCTGTGTAGTTTTTGTCACAAAGGCCACACTGGCCTTTTAAGTGTTTTTTAATGGAACTTTATACCTGAGTTGAAGGTTTGAAAAGATCTGCGAGCCTTCACTTTTTTCAAGCCTTTGGAAAGCTAAGCAGTTCTCTACTGTGTGCTGTGGGCCTTATCCAAACATCCCCAGCCCATCTCTGCTCACCCAACTGTGAACGCAGACACTACTCTTTGAAATACTGTTTTGGGAAAAGCTTTAGCCCTCTGGTGACTGAAAACAGACAGCGAGACAATGTGTCTCCATGATGGATGGGGCGTCAGAGGACTGGCAGCAAGGCCTCTCTTATTCACTGCAGCCACACTCAGGGTCCCTGGGCTCCCCATTCCCCAAAGCACTAAGAAGGGTTTCCCCAGTCTGTTAGCCTGCATCTGGGCGAGGTTAGGCCTGATTTGTGGCGCTCTCCACATGCGCTCCACTGGAGCCTCTCCCAGGGCCACAATGCATGGTTTGCTGGAGGCTGCATTCCGGAAGTGACACTGTGGGCCGCAAGGACACAGGAGAATGGTCATCAGGAGCCATCGGCATTCGGGTGTTGCTGCCCATTTCCTCCCGCTGCTGTGGTCAGGGACTGCTTCACAGGGCTCCGTGCTAGCAGTGGGCACTGTAAATCTAGCTTCCTACAGCCTTGCACACGACTACACCACTGTCACAAATCTATGGCTGTCTTTATACCAGGTCTAAAGGTGAATGAGATGTTAAACATTTATTCCGCTCATCAGATTTGGGGACCCTAGGGATGTTCAGCATCATTTAAACTCATTCTATGGGCTTGTGGCTGCTCTCCCTGTCTCTCAGGCTACCTTCTCCCCCACCAAAATCTAGGGAATGTCTTGTCCCACAGGCAAGTCATAGTAAAAGGATTCTTCCCTGTAGACACCCAAAGAATGCAGAGCTAATTTTCTCTCTTTATAGGCACCAAAAAAAATGTGAATTTGATAGAAATCCAGACGAGAGCAGAACCAAGCCCCTTTTTCTGGAGCTCAGCATGGCTCCCCATCTCTGTGACTTGGGCAGGCTGCAGCCTCCACCTGTTAAAAGAAGTCTGTAGCGTGTGACTGATTTTTACACATAGATCTGGCAACAGGCACAGGCTGCAGATGTAGGATGAGTGTTCCTCACTGCTCAGCAACGAACACCATCTTGAGTGTTACATTTTCTATGGAAAAGTGTGGTGGGGAAGAGATTATAAGTCTCGTGATAGGGCTTTGGAGATCTTTGAATGATGAAGTTGGCCTGTATTCTCCAGTATGCAGATGGCATCATATCTGAAGGGCCTGATTTCACTGGTCCATCTAATTAGCTGTGGATGAAGTGATTGTTTCAGGCTGTAGAGCAGGAAAGAATGAGAGGGCTGTGGGAGGCAGAGGATACAGAGAAATTTTGTCCCTGTGGCTCAAGGAAATAGGCAATGGAGCTGACGTTGTGGTGCAGCAGAACAAGTAGCCACCATTGCAGGTGGCATCCTTATGAGTGCTGGTTGGAGTGCCAGTTCAATCCCAGCTGCCCCGCTTCTGATCCAGCTCCCTGCTAATGTGCCTGGGAAAGCAGTAGAGGAAGGCCCAAGTGCTTGGGCGAGAGGATAGAGTTTCAGGCTTCAGTCCTGCTTGTTGTGGACATTTGGGAACTGAACCAGCAGATGGAAGGTCTGTTTTTCTCTGTCTCTCCTTCTCTCTGTAGCTCTGCCTTTCAAGTAAATAAATATGACTTAAAAGGAGAAGAGGAAGAAGTAGAAGAAAAGGAGGAGGAGGAGGAAGAAGAAGAAAAGAAGAAGGAGGAGGAGGAGGAGGAGAAGATGACAAGTCCCCCAGAGAAGACACCTGTCAGGCAGGAGTTAAGTTCATTGTTTGAATAGCAACAGCCAGCAGAAATATCATGCTGGCCCTATATGTCATTTTTAATGTTCTAATAGCTGTGTTGAAAGAAAAAGAAGCAGGTAAAATTAATTTATGTTTACCCCAAGCATCCAAAATATCATCATTAAACATGGAGTATTTATAATAATATTATAATATGAATAATAAGAATTATTATTATATTTTATGGGGTGGACTTTGGCACAGTGCTTAACCATCTGGGACATGGACATACCATGTGGGAGTGTCTGGATTCCATACTTGGCTCCAGTCCCAAATCTTATTTCCTGCTAATATACAGCCTGGGAGGCAGTAGGTGAAGGCTCAAGTATTTGGGTCCCTGCCACCCACATGGGAGACCTGGATTGAGTTCCCAGTTGCTAGGCATTTGGAGAGTGAACAAGAGGATGGGAAGTCTCTCTCTCAGTCTCTGTTTCTCTGCCTTTCAAGTAATTATAAATATATTTGCATTTTTTTACATGAAGTCCTCAAAATCAGGTGTGTGTTTTCTCCTTCGACAGCCTCATTTCCAGTGTTCCACAACACGCATGGCTGCTGCTGCCTGTCAGGACAGCGTGGCTGTGAGGAGTTGGGGTAGAGACCCTGGGTCTCCCCCTGCACCACCCCCTCAACACCCCATCTTTCATCTCTGGGAGTAGAGGTTGCGTTGTGTCAACAACACCATCAGAAACCTGTTTTTCTCAGACTGTAGTTATTCCTTAAACACTGAGGTTTCTTCTTTTGTTGCCCTCCTATTTTATAAATGCCAGGCTGCTCTTTCTGCTAAGTAAACCGTGGGCATTCATTTGTGTGGGCTCCTTTGGGAATACTTATTTATTTTTAAAAATATTTATTTTATTTATTTGAAAGGCAAAGTTATACAGAGGCAGAGAGAGAGAGAGAGAGAGAGAGAGAGAGAGAGAGAGAAAGTCTTCTATCTGCTGGTTCACTCCCCAAATGGCTGCAACAGCTGGAGCTGTGCTGATCTGAAGCCAGGAGCCAGAAGCTTCCTCCAGGTCTCTCATGTGGGTGTTGGGGACCAAGGACTTGAGCCATCGTCTACTGCTTTCCCAGGCCATAGCAGAGAGCTGGATCGGAAGTGGAGCTGCAGGGACTCGAAATGGCACCCATATGGGATGCTGGCACTACGGGCAGCGGCTTTACCCGCTATGCCACAGCAGGTAAACTGCCTCTTGCTGGGGACCTACAAGTGACTGATGAGAGAATCCTAGAGAGACCCACAAGGACACAGAGCCTTGCTGGCCCGGAGCTCTGGCTTCCAGGGCTTTCTGTGACTTCTGGGTGAGTCATAGAGGCAGTGTTCTAGGGGCTCAGAGAGTGGGCCCAGAAATAGATACAGATGGACAGAAAGGGGAGCAAAATAAATAGGAATTGAGGAGAAAAATAAAAATCCACACAGAAACCTCCTGTAAGGCAAAGCCTAGAGAAGCCCGTGCCAGGATTGTGGCTCAGTGTGACATAAATAACTAAGAGTGCAAACCACTGGCAAGAAACAAAAAAGCAGATTAATAATCAAGATAGAAGAAAACCAGCAGCAGCCTGGGGAGCTTTTCTGGGCCACTCAGCATGAGTGCCTGGGGTGGTCTAGGATTATCATCAGCAGCAATAAAGGAAGTAATGACACCCATTGATGGGTTTGACAAAGCTTTGACGTCTTCATAGCAATTGAAAATAGTATCATAGGGATTTTAATATATAAAAACAAACAATGACAAAATATAATCCTATCGAGGGAGAAAATCCTTTTTAACCAAGCTTCATTGCAGAGCAGGCACTTGGAAAACGACAAGGGTGTAAACAGTCATTCCAAGGGGCCCTGGGGCTCTGGGATGAACGCACTCTGTCGGAAAACAGCAATTGAGAGCTGCGGCAACTTGCTCACAAGCTCTAGCACAAGAGAACAAGCTGGGACCGGCTGCTTGTCCTCAGCAGGGACCACGGAAGGCTGTGTCCCCAAGCCCTCCTGCAAAGCCACTGCCCTCGCCTGTGCTGTGTGGAGGTTTTCTCATATCTCTTTTTTAAAACCTTTTTTTTTTTTTTTAATTAATTTATTTATTTGGAAGACAGAGTTACAGAGAGGTAGAGAGAGAGACAGAGAGAGAGAGAGAGAAGCCTTCCATCTGCTGGTTGACTCCCCAAATGGGTGCAATGGCTGGGGCTGGGCCTATCCGAAGGCAGGAGCCAGGAGCCAGGAGCTTCTTCTGGGTCTCCCACATGGGTGCAGGGGCCCAAAGACTTGGGCCATCTTCTACTGGTTTCCCAGACCACAGCAGAGAGCTGGATAGGAAGTGGAGCAGCCGGATCTTGAACCACCACCCATATGGGATGCCGGCACTGCAGATGGCGGCTTTACCCGGCTACGCCACAGCACTGACTGGGTTTTCTCACAGCAGAGCTCCCCTGAGTGCACATTCAGGGGAAACAACAGGTCCTTGTTCAGCGAGTCACAATGGAGGATTGTAGGGACGAATGGGGCACCTTGGTCTGCTGGGGATTCCCTTTGAAATCCTGCTAGGGTTTGAGCCCTGGGAGGAGGGGGTAACCTACACTTATCTCTCCAGAGAGTCTGAGTGGCAGTTGGAGCCACTATCTCTCCCCTCACTATCTCCGAAGCCCTGCCCTGGATTCCCTGTGACTCAGCCTGAGTCGGTGATATTAAGAAAACAGACCGTGTAATTACCCTTTCATTCGAATGCCTTGCTGCCCATTCCAGATGCATGAGCAGCAGATACACAGTTTATAGAGAGCAGGGTCCTCTGCTGCACACAAGTGCGTGTCGATTCTCTGCATCTTCACCTGGAGACCACCGACTCAGACTCGGAGCTCCAGATACCGATTTCTTGCTCAGACGACTTCAGTTCACAGCGCCTTTCATGGGGCCACTTTCTCAGAGGTACTGTGCTGGGCATTGGGGACACAGAGAGGACCACCAGCTTTTCATCCTTCTAGAAGGTTCTGGAAGTTATTATAGTGCTAAGTGTGAAAATTACACAAGATACAATTGGTTCGGGGGGCTATCACGTTACAGATCTGCCACGTTACAGATATCACCACCTAGCTATGTACCATTCTTTTCGGTGACTCACTAGGTTAGGAAAATATAGAATTGTAATTATATAACAGAGTGAAGCCTTTAGCTAGACATTGAAGAGCACTTTGGGATCTTTTTAAAAAGTTATTTATTTATTTATTTGAAAGGCAGAGTGGCAGAGAGAGTGGGGGCTGATCTTCCATCCACTGGTTCTCTCCCCCAAATGGCAGCAACAACCCAGGCTGGGACAGACTGAAACCAGGAACCAGGAAGTCTATCTGGATCCCAATATAGGTGGCATGAACCAACTATTGGGCCATCCTCTGCTGCCTTCTCAAACGTGTTAGCAGGGAGCTGGATTGAACCAGAGCAGCAGGGACATAACCAGCACTCCTAAATAGGATGCCAGTTTCATAACCCTCTGAGCCACAACACCAGCCCTGATTCTTGTTTTTAAGAAATTTTCCAGGGCTGACCATTGTGGCATGGCAGATTAAGCCACTGTCTGTGATACTGGTAGCCTATTTTGAAACACAAGCTTAAGTTTGACTCTCTGTTTCTGACCCAGCTCCCTGCTAATGCACCTAGGAAGGCAGCAGAAGATGGCCCAGAGGTGCTGTAGCGCAGCAGGTTTAGCCACTCTCTGCAGCGTTGGCATCCCATATGGGTGCCAGTTCGAATCCTGGTTACTCCACTTCTGATCCAGCTCCCTGCTGATACACCTGGGAAAGCAGTGGAAGATGGCACAAGTTCTTGGGCCCGTGCACCCACGTTGGAGACCCAGAAGAAGCTCCTGGATTTGACCTGGCACAGCCCCAGTCATTGTATCCATTTGGGGAATGAACCAGCAAATGGTATCTTTCTCTTGCTCTCCCTCTCTCTCTCTCTGTAACTCTTGTATTTCAACTGAATAAAATAAATCTTTTAAAAAAAGGATAGAAGATGGCTCAAGTACTTGAACCCCTTCAACCATATGGGTGACCCAGATGGAGTGCCTGGCTCCTGGTGTCAGCCCAGCCCTGGCCATTGTGGCCATTTGGGGAATGAACCAGCAAATGAGATTGATCTCTGTGTCTCTCTTTCTGTCTCCCTTTCCTTTCACTGTGTCACTCTGCCTTTCAAATAAACAAACTAAATCTTTTTTTTTTCTTAAAGAAATTTACAAGGGGTAGAGGATGTTAATTCGGCTTGGTAGTTAAGATGCCTGCATCCCACATTGAGGCCGGCGCCGCGGCTCACTAGGCTAATCCTCCACCTACCGGCGCTGGCACACCGGGTTCTAGTCCCGGTCGGGGCTCTGGATTCTGTCCCGGTTGCCCCTCTTCCAGGCCAGCTCTCTGTTGTGGCCAGGGAGTGCAGTGGAGGATGGCCCAAGTGCTTGGGCCCTGCACCCCATGGGAGACCAGGAGAAGTACCTGGCTCCTGCCATCGGATCAGTGCGGTGCGCCGGCTGTGGCGGCCATTGGAGGGTGAACCAACAGCAAAGGAAGACCTTTTTCTCTGTCTCTCTCTCTCTCACTGTCCACTCTGCCTGCATCCCACATTGGAATTGCCTGGGTTAGAGACCCAGCTCTGGATCCTGATTCCAGTTTTCTGCTAATGTAAACCCTGGGAGCCAGAAGATGATGGCCCAAGTGATTGTGTTCTTGCCACCATGTAGATTGAGTGCTGGCTCCCGTATTTGGCCTGGCACAGACCCAGCTATTGCAGGCATTTAGAAAGTGAACCAGTGGGTGGGAGCTTTCTGTCTGTCTGTCTGTCTCTCTCAGTATCTCTTTGGCCCCTCAAAAATAAATAAATAAATATGTAAATAAAAGAAACGTGCAAGATACTTAATTTAAGATCCTAGAGACTGGAGCTTGAAATCTAAAAAGCAATTTAAAGATAACCCAAAGGGTACCATCCAAATTAGGAGCAAAACCAAAGTAGGGGAAGGCAAGGGAATTGATAGTTTTTTAAAAATTTTAAAGATGTATTTACTGGGGCCGGTGCTGTGGTGTAGCGGGTAGGGCTGCTGCCTGCAGTGTCTGTATCCCATATGGGCATTGGTTCAAATCCCAGCTGCTCCACTTCGGATCCAGCTCTCTGCTGTGAACTGGGAAAGCAGTAGAAGATGGCCCAAGTCCTTGGGCCCCTGCACCCACATGGATGATCTGGAAGAAGTTCCTGGCTCCTGGTTTTGGATCGGTACAGCTCCAGCCATTGTGGTCAATTGGGAAGTGAACCAGCAGATGGAAGACCTCTCTCTCTCTCTGTCTCTCCTTCTCTCTCTGTGTAACTCTGATTTTTTTAAAAGATGTATTTATTTATTTGAGAGGCAGAATTACAGAGACACAGAGAGAAACAGAGAGATCTTCCATCTGCTGGTTTACTCCCCAAGTGGCCGAAACAGCTGGGGTTAGGCCAGGCCAAAGCCAGAAACCTGGAACTCCATTGGGTTCTCCCAAGTAGGTAGCAGGGGCCCAAGAACTTGAGCCATCCTCTGCTGCTTTCCCAGGCTCATTAGCAGGGATCTGGATCAAAAGTGGAGCAGCCAAGACTCGAATTGGCACTCACATGGGATACCAGTGCTGCAGGCTGTGGCTTAGCCCTCTGTGCCACAATGCCAGCCCCTAAACAGCTCTGGAAGCCCAGAAGTTACCTCATCCAGGTTACCTTGTTGCCAGGCTTCTTGGTGCTCTCAGTACAACTGGGTGGCTGTCACATTCCCTCACCATTGGGCATGGGAGGGTGGGACCAGGTCTTTTCAGTGCCTGGGCTGGGGTGGGGACCTCTGTGGCTTCTTTTCTGTGCCTGAGGCAGACATATCATTTTAATTTATTTTCCCAAATATTGAACTGTTGGAGAAAAAAATCTCCCTTCCTGTAGCAGACCCGTTCTTCCTCACTCCTTGTGTTCAGCAGCTATCTCCCAGCCTGGCCACAGAGTCCCCGAAGAGAGGCTGAGCCCACCCAGGACTGCCGGGACCCTGTGTGCTTCTCTGTGAAGTTGGGTAAGAAGCCCTTCTCTGCCAGGGGGCCCTTATCAGCTCCACAGAGGCCAGGACAGCTGTTCACCAGCTGGTCACTTAGCAGGAAGCCCCGGGAATAGAGAAGTGAGAACCTAACTGTGTGCACAGCCGCCCTGACCATGGCCGGAAAACCGCAAGTGGAAAGAGAAAAACTGCTCTGAGAAACTCTTTGAGAACTTGCAGTAAGTGACAGGATCAGTACTAGTGTTGCATTTCCTTACCTGAATTAAAACACACACACACACACACACACACACTCAGACATGTACACTCACACACAGACACACACATACACCCACATAGACACACACAGACACACAGTCACAGACACACACACTCACACACAGACACACATGTATGTACTTCTTTTCTGTTTAACTCCAGAGACCTCTCTCCTTTGCTGGCCCGTGGTTCTGAGTCTTACCAAGGGCTTAGTAGATTGAGGCAGATAAACAGTGTAAGGCCTCTTCAGCTTGGCTTTTCAACAAGGCCCGGGGAGCTCGGGGAGTGCCACTTAGCAGGGAAGGCCTTGGATCTCACAGTGGAGCCAGCCAGGTCCTGGTTCTGGGGCCCCTCTGGGGCTGTGTGGCCGGCCAGTGATACAGCTCTGAGCTCAATTTTCTTCTCTGTACAACGTGCCGCCCAGCGTAGGAGGTCTCCTCCAGGCTGCCGTGAAGAATGAATGAGATTGGGTGCACGCAAATCACTTTGTCAGTCCTTACAGCACCATTTGAATTTTTCACTAATTATTAACTAAAAGAACACTCACATAAATCTGTCCGTGTCTGCCCCATAGTAACTTTCCCCTCTCATCTCACTTCTTCTTTTTCATAGAATCAAGTCACATATTTTGTCATTCAATTAAATCTGTAAACATCTGGTGAGTTCTATGTAAGGCACTGAGATAAATAAATGAAGGTTGAGATGCCTTCAGGAATCTTTCCATGTAATTGGGGGGAAAAAGCCCATGGACACCTTGGAAATTTTTAAATGATACCACAATGAAATTATAAGAGAACAATGGAAAATGTCTCAGATCGAAACCTGCAAATCTTTCATTGATTCTTATCATGGTAGACCACTGGCAAATCGGTGCTTTTTTCAATAACGTGCTACCTTCCAGTGAAATAAGTCCAATTCTTGGTTTGTTTTTATTTCTATGGAATATTGTATTGAATATTAAAATCAAGTAAAAAAACTCAATCACTTGAGTTAAACTACTTCTCTTACGAAAAGCCACACATGTATTGTAATTTAATTGTTTTTATCTTTCCTTTCTCCCCCTTCTTTATTCCTTTGGAAAGGGGAGAGTCTGCAGGCTGTGGGGACTTTAGACCAGGCGGGTCATGGTTACAATGGGTGTAGACAACAAATGCCAAGCCAGGAGGCAGGAGTGATCTAGGGCCACCTTATGTGGAATCTCTCTGTAGAGGATGTGGCTCTTAAACTGGGGACTAATAGGCCAGGTTATCAATGGATCCATTTCTGCCAGATCACAGTAACGATTGCACAGGAGTTCTCTGCTGAGTGTTACTTAATTTTATGAGCGTTCTGTCCTGTTTTTCACCACACAGATGTACCACCACAGTCTATTTTAAAATTCACTGATTTTGGATACTTAGTTCAACGCTTTACTCAATACACAAACTTGCAAGTTTTATGTTTATTTTGCACTGAAATTATCTTTTTAAAGATTTATTTATCAATTTGAAAGTTAGGGGCCAGTGCTGTGGCATAGCTGGTAAAGCTGCCACCTGTAGCGCCGGCATCCCATGTAGGCGTTTGTTCGAGTCCTGGCTGCTCCTTTTCTGATCCAGCTCTCTGCTATGGCCTGGGAAAGCAGTAGATGGTG